GGTGATTAGAAAAGGACACAAAAGTGAGTGAGATGAGACAATGACAAAACATGGTAGATAATGGTAGATGAAGGGAAAAAAGTAATGCAAACACACTGACTTGCTTGCCAAACATGAAAAACTTTGAAAACAAGTCAAAATGCCGTCTTCAGTACAGAGTCTTTCAAGAAGAAGACCGTCGTAATAATAATTTCTAAACTATATTTCAGTCACTTACAAAGTCACCCTGGCTTTTTTCCTCGTCTTTGGATCCCACGTAGTCATAGACGAAGCAAATGTTTGGGTGGTCGAGGACAGAGTAGTTGTTGCCCACATCCACAAACAGACCTGGAGGGACAAAAACAAGGGGTGTGGTCAGTGCTTAGTGGTTAGTGGTCAGTGGGAAGTTGGTAGTGGCCGGTGGTTGCAACCAACGGTGGCCGGCATAGTTTAGCCTAATACCACACTACGATAAAACGGAAGGCCATTGGTTTTGTCGGAGAGTTATGGACGATGATGAAAATAAGAGTATCTCTTAGCGTATCAGCGCGACAGAAATATGTTTAGCCATGCTTCTCCAATTTTTACAGTTCACAACTTAGTACTTGCTAAAAGGTTTTTTTTAAAGTGCGGTACTGGGCTAAGGAGCAACTGTTAGTGGTCAGAGGCAGGTGCACTGTCAGCCCATTTGGTCTCATTCTAGACAACGGTAAAAATAACCCAAGGGTCATTCATAATTAATGTATTGTGTTGTTTAGGAAGGTGTAAGCCCCCCCCCCCCCCACACACACACACATTTGGCTCTGTGCAATAGGAGACGGATGGTAATTTTAGAGGTCCCATCTCTTTCTTGTCTTGTTGGAATGAAAAGTGATGTCATACCTGTACACTATCAAATTGATCGATGGGCGTCAGAGGGTGGTTGTCATAATTCAGTAGTCAATAGCGTATTGTGAACGATTAGGTGGTAGGGGATCATGAATAAGTCGTCGGTTATCAGATGACATACGTCATTATTGAGTGGTCAAAGGGCATATGTCATTGTTGAGTGGTCAGAAGTCAATTGAGACAAAGAGTGAGTCGTGGTCGTAATAGATGTCACCAATCAAAAAGCGATGCGGGTTTGCCTGACCCATGAAAAAATACCAATCAGATCTATGAGCTATGACCACGCTTCATAACAAAACAATATCATTATTCAAATGCGTATTTTGTACGGTCACCAAGAGACTATCCCAAAGACTGTCTGTCATCGTTATGGCTTTCTAGGCTGCAAATATTTGCGCAATCATCAATTGGGGATTACTTTGTCTGTCGATGCTCATGAAATCCACACAAGGTAGTACAACGTTTCGTCACCTTGCCACCTCAGTCCTCCAGTCAGTTCGTGTTGCCGGAGGCTATCGACACAAAGACGCCTGGTTACCATAAGTGCATAAAGGATTCATGATTTCTACTGAGCAAACCTTGGGACGGACATTTGTATGCGCGAGAGTGCCGTCATTATTCAGAAGGGAGATAGCGTTGCGTGCTATGGTGCCAAGGTTAGTGAAAGTGTGGTAGGGACTACGTTACATTGCGTGGGGTGATGGATAGGGTGATATGCTGGGTGAATGGGTGAGTGGAGGGTCATTCTGTGGAATCTCCATCTGGTGAGATGCGTGTGGTGAGGTGATGTTGGTAGGCACGCCAGAGTGTGGGTAAAGAAAAAACCCCAACTATCTATTAGTGTTGTGTATACCGAAAAGTTGAGAGAAAGGAACGGAAATGGAACCAATGAAGTTGTGCGTGAAGCTTTTTGCTGAATTAACGCAATTTCCAATGTTGATAGAACCTTAATTTGATTACTGTCCTGGCATCTACTTTTTGTAAGATTCGCTCAACTCAACTACAAGAGAGCAAGCCTAGTTTGAGCTCTTTTACATCTACGGAATGATTTGAACAGAAAGCAAAGAAAGCTTCTAATCATTCTTGAGCAGGAAACAACTTTCTGGTTTGTGTATTCTTGGTCTTCCCATATGAATTAATCAGACTGCTTTTGCAAAAGATGGTGCGTAAATCTTTGATAATTATTTACTCCAAATCTCACGATCCGTATCAAGGTACCCAAACCCATAGATCTCACGCAAGGTATATCGAGACAAGCCATTTGCATGCGGGCGCATCTCAGGTCGTGTTCGGGGCAAATGGCATTTTTTAAAAAGTAACCAACTTTTCGGTTAAAGTTCGGTTCTGTTAGAAACTAATACGTTCTGGCAGCCTATCTCTAACTAATGATCCCAAAAGTCAAAAGTAACTAGAGCCAAGGGTTTATAGGGACTGTCGTGTTTTAGGAAGAAAGATGAAAGTGGGAAACATACGTAAAATTCGAAGTTCTTTTTGTAAAAAAAAAAATTGTCCGCATCTTCTGCCAGGTTTATACGCAACATACTTTTTTGATAAATGGTGGGTTTTTGTACCAAGTTTTCAGTTGTAAAAAGACCTTATAGCCATTCTTAACATTTTTATATTATATTCCCCAACCCACGACTACTGCCTCAACTCTTGACATTATTAAATATGAAAGTTCACGAGTGATATTAAGGGTATTTGGACCGGACCTGGCGGTAATGGTATTACCTTGTTGACCTCTGGCCAAAATAAAACAGAGTGCAAATGGTAATAAAATGTGAACGATAATTATATTATCAAGGGCCAGTAGAGAGTCACGTTCTGACTATTTCATTAAATCTCCTGTTGGGGCGTTCACTAGTGTGAGTTTTCTGAGGTCATTGTATACATTACTCTACATAGTGAAGGAACAAAGAGGTTTATTGGTGCTAGTATTCGTCTCCGTGTAAGTGTATGAGAAAGAGAGAGAGAGAGAGAGAGAGAGAGAGAGAGAGAGAGAGAGAGAGAGAGA